GTAGAAAGGAAAACCATTGGCCACAAGCTCTTGGGCGTTCCAGGTAGCCTGCAGGGTGCACAGGGGGCTTTCAGTTCTTGACTGGTATGGGTTGGTGCAGCCAGGTGACAGAGGAATATTCCACGGGCCAGCGAGAAGCGACTGTTCCGTGGACGTTCTTTCTGTCCCTGCAGCACTGGATCTGTGAGGCTGCAGGCTACCCTTTGCTGATTTGCAGGGCCATAATTCTGGCCTGGAGCCTGACAAACGACCCCGGACCTCTGAGATGGGAAATGAGGTCTACATCTGTGTTCTCATCAGGATTCGCTCTCAAAGGTCATTTTCCACACTGTGGCTTAATAGAGTTGGTTTTATATTCCCTAAGGGATACAGACTTCCAAATTGTTCCAGTCTCACTAACTGTAATCTATACAGCTAATGTTTGAAAGGAAATTGCCTCTCCTCCAAGGCAGTGGTTCTCAACCAGGGAGACTTTTTCCCCCCAGGGGACATGGGGACATTTGGCAATGTCTAGGTGATTGTCACATCTAGGTGTGGGGGTCAGTAGGTGGTGCTGAATAAGATTATGTTTGCACTGGACAGCCCCAGAAGGAGCAGTCCGGCCACAAATGGCCCTGGTGCTGAGGGGGACAGACACCACTTACAGAGAAGCCAACGCAGAGGCCCACATCCAACAGGCTTCCCAGGGCAGGCGTGGTCTGGAAAAACTGTTCCGTAATGAAAGGCCCTCTCAGAACAAAAAGTCCCCAAGCCAAGACCACTGCCTTGTGCCCTGCTGCCTCCTGGATGCTGGTGGGAGGTGAAGACGTCTGGCTCCAGCAGGACTGGGCCGCGAGGACCCCGCCTGTAACCCAGCGCTGGCCACCAACAGATCACGGGGCGTGGAGGGAGAGACTGCCGATGCTGTCCCGGTGCAGCAGCACCTCATGGTCAGGATGCATTATCTTTCTGATTTGCACCTCAGACATTTAAAACAGAGGTTTTGATTTTGACAAATGTGGAAAATAGATTTCAACTCAAAAAGCAAGACCTGAGAACATGATGTGTTAAAATCTCTTTCATTTCATGCCACTTTGCAGCCCTGGGACCCTTGGGACTTGTACCTAGAAGGCAGTAAAGATGACAGCAGCCCCTGTTTCACTGATGGTCACGCAGAGGACATTGTGAGGTGGCCGTAGGGTCAGGTGGCTGTAGGGTCAGGGCTGGGCAAGCTGTACTCAGATGCTGTACACCCAGAACATTATGGGAGGTAAATAGCACACAGCGTTCTTGGGGAAAAGATGAGCCCATTTCCCAGGCTGCTGCTAACATCCTTTCTCCTGTCAGCGTGGGGGTGACCCTGCCCAATTAAAGGGCTTCTTTTGGCCCTTCTTTTCCCTGGCAGCAGCAGGGAAGTGGGTGGGGGAGGAGAGGAACACACTTTCCCCCTCTTGGAGACCTGTGAGTACAGCCTGCAAGCTCTGGCTCCAGCAGGAAGTGTGGTCAAGTGCAGCATCCCGTGTGGCAGATGCTGCACTTGACCATAATTCTGACCATGTCACACACTGAGAACGTGGACACTGCACCTCTCTGACAGTGTCACGCACCACGAACGTGGACACTGCACCGCCGACCACGTCACACCGAGAATGTGGACACTGCTCCGCTGACCACATCACACACCAAGAATGTGGACATTGCACCTCTGACCACATCATGTATCGAGAACGTGGACACTGCACCTCTGACCACATCATGCACTGAGAACATGGACACTGCACCTCTGACCATGCCACACCCCGAGAACATGGACACCACCCCTGACCATGTCACGCTTTGAGAATGTTGACACTGCACCTCTGACCATGCCACGCCCCAAGAACATGGACACCACCCTGACCATGTCACGCTTTGAAAATATTGACACTGCACCTCTGACCATGCCACGCCCCGAGAACGTGGACACTGCACATCTGACCACATCATGCTTTGAGAACATGGACACTGCACCTCTGACCATGCCACGCCCTGGGAACATGGACACTGCACCCCTGACCATGTCACGCTTTGAGAATGTGGACACTGCACCTCTGACCACGTCATGCTCCAAGAACATGGACATTGCACTTCTGGCCATGTCATGCTGGCCAGAATTTGGCTGCAGGACAGACTTCACTGGAAAGGAAACTGGACAGTGTGCTCAGCTACAAGTGCTTTAGAAGAGAGAATCATATTCCCTCTCAAGTCTCTACCACACAGCATTTAGATAATTTACAGCTTTTTTACCAGTCAAAATGTGTCATGTATAAATGCAAGTATTTCTGTAGGATGGCCGTCTAGAAGTAGTCAGAAAGAATGTGCATTTAAATGTTTTATAAGTACTTCTCAATTGCCTTCCATAAAAGCTTCATTAATTTATTCTCACCATTGATGAATAAGTGCCCTGTGTCCTTCAACAATGGGGTATTATTCACATTTTATCTTACTTTCCAGTTTGCTGGATGAAACAGAATGGATGGATGAATGGCTGGGTGGATGGATGGATGGATGAATGGATGGATGGATGGATGGATGGATGGATCAATAGGTAGGTAGATTGATTCTCATTGTAATTTGCATTTCTAATCAAAAGAATGAACCTCATAATTATTGATGATTCGTTTCTTCTGGGAATTGCTGTTTGTATCTTTGCCTATTTGTTGTTGTCGTTTTGTCCCTTGTCAATCTGCAGCAGCAGTTGATATATGCACATTTAAAAAATTCTGTCATGTACCGTGTGCCTCCTTTCTTCTAAAATGGCTGGTCACTGGTGTATGTCTTTATTAGAATCACATATTTTTTATCTTACTGTATCAGTCAGCCTGAAGACTTACTAGGTTTTGTGACTTGCTTAATTAAGTCCTTTCGTATGCCAAAATAAATGAAAATTTTTTTGTGCTTTTACATTTAGGTTTTCAGTCCACTCTCGTGTGTGTGTGCACGCGCACGCATGTGTGTGTCTGTGTGTGTAATCTCAGCTAGCAATACCAAATGGTTGGTTAGAGTTTCCACCATCACTTACTGAATTGTTAATTCCTTCTTTGCAGATTTAAAATGCTGTCCTCGTTAGAGTTACGTATGTGGGTCTATTTCTGGGCTCTCTCCTTTCTGTTGATTTGTTTGTCTCCCCCAGTAATACCATCCTATAATTACCACAGATTTATAGTATCTTTAATATCTGGCAGTGTGAGTTCCCATTCATTATTCTTTATTATTTTTTTTTAACTCTTATGGTTTTTTTTTCCGTACTAACTTTATAATCATCTTGTCAGATACCATTAATAGAAAACCCAGAAGGTATTTTGGTTAGGCTCACACTGACTCTTAGGGTTCATTAGGCAAGACTCGACATCTCTGGAATTCTTCAGTGGGTTTATTTACAGAGAGAATTTCCAGGTGTTCTGTTGTGTAGTGCAGTGATTATAAACAGTCCACCAAACGCCGACAGCTTAACAGCATAAGAATGGCAGAGCATAGGTGGGTGGGGTCCCACCCATGACGGCAATGTCTCCACACACCCCGCAGACACCTGCGCTGTTGGCACACTGTGTCATCACGGCTGAGATGTAGCTTACCTCTGCTTCTTAGCTGTGCACGGCCAAAGCTTCTGCAGGCTGCCTGCATGCCAGATTTCCCCAGGCTTTGCTTGGTCTTCTGGCCCTGTGTCCTTTTTCTTGTTGAGTTATAAATAACCCTGTAGGCAGTACCAGCGGCAGTGTGTGTGGCTCCGCTGCTAAGAAACAAACTCACTTTTACTGTGAGTTTGATTTCTGTCAATTTCTGGGAATTTGATTTCTGCCACAGCTTTACCACTTACACTATTGATGTCCAAGGAAAGTTAGATAATGAAGGTGTTCTGTGGAGAAGAATTCCTTAAAAATGTGAGCTTTGAGTGCGGATTGTGTTTTTCAAGTGAGATGAGAACACTCTTCTCTGCATTTACCAGAATCACTGGAATGTTCAGGTGCTGAACAGAACAGTGTGTTCGGAAAAATGTTCCACTCGGTGGATTAGTGTTAGTAGGTTATTGTTCTGTGATTGAAATGCGTTTACACAGCCAAACCGACTTGTGCCCCTTAAGTATTTTTCGAAAGTCATCTCAATGACAGTGCTTATGGGCGTCTCTGAAATTAAAGGGACAGTGGCATGCAAATTGGAGGAGCTGGCCAACTCTCCATTGCTCCCCTCCCTTGTAAATGAGGTGCGTGTTATGTTGTGTAAGCACAGAGACGTGACAGTAGAAGGATGAATGGAGATGCGGTGTGAAGAGCCCATGTGTGAGACAGCTGTAGGATACGTGGAGGGAAGTCCCACAGTGGTTAAGGAGTCAGCCAGTGGCTGAACCAGGCAGCAGCTGCAAAGGAGCCTGGAGCTAGGGATGACTTCGGCAGCCACCTGGTATGGGCGCTGCTGGAGTAAAGCAGCATCTGAGGAGATGTGGAGAGTTCAGTTTGCTGTTTTTGTTTTTGTTTTTTCTTTGAGACTGAGTCTTGTCTTGCTCTGTCGCCCAGGCTGGAGTGCAGTGGCATGATCTTGGCTCACTGCAACCTCTGTCTCCTGGGTTCAAGCGCTTTTCCTGCCTCAGCCTCCCAAGTAGCTGGTTTTACAGGCACCATTCACCACGTTCAGCTAGTTTTGTGTTTTTAGTAGAGCCAGGGTTTCACTGTGTTGGCCAGGCTGGTCTCGAACTCCTAACCTCAGGCAATCCCCTTGCCTCAGCCACCCTGAGTCTGCACAAGAGTGTCAGAATGAAATATTCTGCAGCCTCAAGGGGGTCATGAGTTTTGACTGGTTGCAGTATAGGTTGTGTGAGCCACCAGGCCTGGCCAGTTTGCTGTTTTTTATAGTCTTGTGTAGAGGATAACTCAACGTCTCTCCAGCAGCCAGGCTCAATGTGTGTGCCTTTTGTAATGCGCAGTACTGGTCAGCAGCCCGCATTCCTGGGATGCACATGTAACACGCGCACTTTGTGTGTTTTCCAGAACTACACGCAGTATATCCCTCTGTCCATATATGACCTACAGACATGGATGGGCAGCCCGTCAATCTTCGTGTACGACTGCTCCAATGCTGGTTTGATCGTCAAGTCCTTCAAGCAGTTCGCACTACAGCGGGAGCAGGAGCTGGAGGTGAGCACTCTGGTGCTGGCAGAGCGGGGCTGGGATTGGTTTTGTTTTCTCTTGGGGTGGGGTTTGAATGGGGTGGTTGGGAGGTGTTGAACATTCTCTGAATGGAGCAGGGCTCAGAAAGCCAAGGGCAGGATGGCATATTTGATGGTATAGAGCTAGGGAGGCACTGAGCACACTTTTGTTTTTGAAACATAATCTTGGCTGGGCGCGGTGGCTCACGCCTGTAATCTCAGCACTTTGGGAGGCCGAGCCAGGCAGATCACAAGGTCAAGAGATTGAGACCATCTGGGCCAACATGGTGAAGCCCAGACTGTACTAAAAATATAAAAATTAAGCAGGCATGGTGGTGCATGCCTGTAGTAGCAGCTACTAGGAAGGCTGAGGCAGAAGAATCGCTTGAACGGAGGAGGCAGAGGTTGCAGTAAGACAAGATTGTGCTGCTGCGCTCCCGCCTGAAGACAGAGTGAGACTCTGTCTCAAAAAATAACACCATAATCTTGTTCTGTTGCCTAGGCTGGAGTGCTGTGGTGCCATCTCAGGTCACTGTAACGTCTGTCACCTGGGCTCAAGCAATCTTCCCTTCTCAGCCTCCCGAGTAGCTGAGACTGCAGGTGCATGGCATGCTACCATGCACAGCTAATTTTTGTCGTTTTTGTAGAGGTTTCGCCGTTTTTCTCAGGCTGGTCTCAAACTCCTGGCCTCACGCAGTGCATGTACCTCGACTCCACAGTTCTGGGATTACAGGCTTGAGCCACTGCGCCTGGCCCTGTTCACATTTATGGGCTTATTTTTACATCTCGTTTTACTCCATGTCATTTTTAATCCAAATATTAATTGATAGCATTAATAGGGTCGATTTGTGCCTTAACAGTCACTGCCCCAAGATAAATGTGAAAATAAAGCAGACACATTTATTTTAGGAGAAATGGACCCACAGTCTTCAGTTCCACCACTACCTTTGTCACTGCCCCAATTCCTTTTTCTATTGTGTTTTAAAAAAATCCCCAACAACCACTAAGCTAAAATGATTGAAAGCAGCTGCCATTGGTCGCACTCACTTAAGAAGCGAAGAGCCTGTGCAGCGCCCTGATAATGAAGAGACATTCTGCTTGGTTGTTTTAATTAATATTTGATGTTTGAATTAAACAGTGAATTCTGAGGGCAAATTGAAGAGGCAGTTTCAATTAAGAGGCCTCCATCTTGCGGCCTGCGCAAGAACATCGAAATGAAATATTCTGCAGCCTCAAGGGGGTCATGAGTTCTGACTGGTTGCGGTATAGGAAATTCTCCATTTAGGAACAGAAATGGTCTTGAGTATGTTTCCTTGAGCCTTTTTGGGTATATTCAATTTTAATGTATTGTTATGTTTTTCACATTTCATCAGAGAAAAACAAAATTTGAAATTCTGTTCGGTAGACTTTAACGTTAGCATGTCTGCAGTTTAATATTTCATATAGTAAGTCTCTATGTGGAACACTGCGAAAGAGTGATTGATAACTATAATGTGCTTTATCCGTGAAAATGATCCACATGCAACAGGTGTGTTTGTTTTGTGTTGTATAAGAGAAGGGGAAGAAAGATCGAGGTTTGTATCTTCAGATGTTTCCCTTGCTTTTAGGCATTTCATCTTGGTCTACCCCTGGGATAGGTTATCTAATGAGCATTAAAAAACTCAAAGCATTGAGAGGTAATTTACTTTTCCTCGCATCAAGTAATAAATATTGCAGAAAAAGGTGGGTTTTTACATTTATAATATGTAAGTAAAAATGCCAAAGAATCCTGCCTGAGTTCTGCGCCAGATTTATGGGCTGTAGAGTGGTTAAGAGAAAGACCAATACATCAGCCTTAGTTAATTAAAACATGTTAAATACGGACTCGCTCCCCTTTCCGCAGAAGGCCGGCGCCTCCAGCTCATGCATAATGTCAGATGTTTGCTTTCCAGCACTTTCAGCATGTGCTCGGCAGTGCTGTGTACTCCTTGTATGTTGCCAGGGATTAATCAGCCTAAGACACTGTTCATTTCACTAAGTGTAATAGCAAAAATTCCCATGCATCTTTTTTAGGAAAAAAAAAGTTTGATTGACTCATTCCTCATGAAAGAGAGCAGATGAAAAAACATGCTAACTGAGATGGCGAGTAGATGGCAAGGCAATGCGGGGCCATATGTCTTTAATTAGCTCTGATTTTCATCTTCCTTCTTTTCTTTAATTACAATATAAATCAGTCTTGTGTGTTTTTATTACACTTACTATTATTGGCTATTGTTTACTTGGTTTCTTACATAAACAGTGGAAATTAAAATGATAAAATTAGCTCCTAGCTAATATCTTCATGTTCATTTTAGCCGTGTTACTACCTGCTATAGAAACAGGAGTCCTGTGTAGCCTTTTCGGGTTTTTCTTTTCAAATATTCATTGCCTCTTTACAGCTAGCCAAATTCTTTGTAAATTTACAATATGTTTTAATAGTTTTTATTGTATAACATGTGAGCAGAAAGAAATTGACAGGTGAATGATTTGTTCCAGTGTTTAAAAAATAAAGAATTGGGCTGGGCGCGGTGGCTCAAGCCTGTAATCCCAGCACTTTGGGAGGCTGAGGCGGGTGGATCACGAGGTCAAGAGATCGAGACCATCCTGGTCAACATGGTGAAACCCCGTCTCTACTAAAAACACACACACACACACAAAAAAAACTAGCTGGGCATGGTGGCACGTGCCTGTAGTCCCAGCTACTCAGTAGGCTGAGGCAGGAGAATTGCCTGAACCCAGGAGGCGGAGGTTGCAGTGAGCCGAGATCGCGCCATTGCACCCCAGCCTGGGTAATAAGAGTGAAACTCCATCTCTAAATAAATAAATATAAAGAATTGATTAAATATAATGCAAGAAAATGGTTATTTGGACCAGAAAGCCTCCAGATAATATACATTAACACAAATATAAGTGACGTAAATTTTAAGAGATGATGATCAACTTTCATACTCTTAGTGGCACAGTGCTTGTCCTGGTACCAGGAAGTTTCCTTATTGTGTACTTCTCTCTGAGGAGTGCCCTAGGTAGAGCAGAAGACGACTTCATCCAAGCACAGAGACAGTACTGCAGACACTTCCAACCATGCCAGAAAATGGCTTATGTGTCACTCAGTCGTCCTTATGTTTTTCATTATGTCATATTTCTTTGTAATTTAAAAATTAAGAATAATATTTAAGTCTCTCTGGTTTCAATCTTCTTTTCTAAATAAGTATTTTTATTTTTACTGAATTAGTATATGCCATGGTTTGAACAGTCAAATCGTACAGAAGGTTTATGATAAATAAAATAGTCCCTGGCCCCGCACTTTCTTTGCTGAGCACCTGTGACCAAAGGCACCCCCTCTCCCTGTTTCCGTTTCCAGTTCCTCTAGAGGGCAGCTCCTTCTCTGTAGATGATGTGCTGATACGATGCTTCTTGATTCATTGATGTTGGGTTCTCTGTAGGCTTTCTCTTAGAACAGAGCTGCTGTTAATAAGTCCCATCTAAGGAAAGGAGGAATGATGTGGAGCCTGTTAGTGAAGAAGCATATCGCATGAGAGTTTAAATTTGAGATTGTGTTTGTTTTCAGTTGTGAATTCTTTTTCTTTTTCTTTTTTTTTTTTTTTTTTGAGACGGAGTTTCGCTCTTATTACCCAGGCTGGAGTGCAATGGCGCGATCTTGGCTCACCGCAACCTCCGCCTCCTGGGTTCAGGCAATTCTCCTGCCTCAGCCTACTGAGTAGCTGGGACTACAGGCATGCGCCACCATGCCCCGCTAATTTTTGTATTTTTAGTAGAGACGGGGTTTCACCATGTTGACCAGGATGGTCTCGATCTCTTGACCTCGTGATCCACCCGCCTCGGCCTCCCAAAGTGCTGGGATTACAGGCTTGAGCCACCACACCCGGCCCCATGAATTCTAAAAGAAAATTCTAGATTGAAGAGGCAGTGTCGCACAGGACACCTGCTTGCTTTCCCTCTTACTCTCTCTCTTGGCTTTCTCTATACTTTGTTGACTTTGCAGTTTTAGGTAATATTCTTCCACTTTCATTTCTAGTTTTATCAGTAGTAGCTGATCTCTTTCATTTTCAAGGCTGTTGCTTCCTTGTACTTTCTTCTCTCTTTTTTCTTTTACAGCTTCTGTTGTCTGTACATTTTGCAGTTGTCTTTCATTCTCTGATCACGATTCCCTCCTCTGAGCGTGAGTGTAGATTGATTCTGTAGGATGACAAGCATTAAACCTTGTTACCTGATTATGGCTATGTAAATAGTCCTTGCTCAGTGGCTAGAGTACTGCTATTTCCGTTTTTATAACTGTTTTTGCTTGTTGGCTTTTCCTGGACGTTTCCTCTTTTCTTCTTGAATCATATATCGTTCCCACATCCTCCACTGATGGATTCCCCAAGCGAACAGCAGAACACAGAAGGCGGCTTCTCCCCTTGGGTCTTCCGAGCTCTCCCGCCTCCTCCCACCTTACTCAGCCAATGGCTCCTGTGGCCTGCTCCCCGGCAGCAGCTGGCCCCTCTGTAACTCTCTGGGACCCATCCCTGTGTCTAGACCCCACTTCTTCTCCTCTCTCGATTTTCGCCTTTGTTCCACTGGAGCAAATCCTCAAGTAACACCCTAAGAAAGGCTATATGGCAGTCTGAGAGCTTCAGCATTGGAAGGAATGAAAATCTCACTACTGGGTTTTCAACAAATAGCAGCTTGTCTTTTTCACTAATAAGGTCTCTGAGGCAAATGATTGACTTTTCAGCGGTGCCCCCAGGGACCAGGCATCCTTAGCTGATTGGCGTTATCCACGTGGTTGCGATATGCCCACCCATCTGCAGGCGTTTCATCTGCCTGGGAGGCAGGAGGAAGTAGGGAAGGGGCAGTGCTGGCCACACTTGTCTCTTCCAAAAGGAGAGTAGAGCCCACCCTCTGTATCTGCAGCCTCTACATCCTTGGAGTCAAATAACTGTGGCTCCAAGACATTCAGGAAAAAAGATT